GCACAGAACATGTGGGGCTGTCTCTGCCTGCAGCATTTCTCTCCAATGAGAGAAAATTAAACAAATGCAGGTGGGTTTTGTGCCTGTGTGTAATAAATACTATCAAGATATCAATCACTGGCTAAGGTAACCTTTTGGACTGCACAGAAGGAATCCCTGTAGCCTCTCAATGACTATTTATCATTCTTTTCCAGAGTGATTTTGATCCAAATCGATTCTTTTCCTGTGCTGCTCTATTTTTATGCCCTAGTCCATCTTTAATATACACCATGGCACTGTCTGTTCCTGAGTGTTTGATGAATGTACTCCAGCCACCACTGTTTCTTCATGGCAGCTCTCCATTGATTCTCATCATATCAGCTTTCAGCACCATTTGTTAGGATTCCTCTGTTGTTGGTTGGTGCACAAACACTTCAGTCCTCTCCCAGCAGTTCTTTTTGGGATTCTCTGTGGTTTCTTTGATCCATCCCATCTGCCCTGCTCAGGGGGGACGTGCCCCAGTTATTGCAGCTCTTCAGAGAGGTGGGGCAGGAGTGGCCCCACAGCTCTGCCGGGCCGGCCCTTGATCTGAGCACAGGGAGCAGGAAATATTCCCGAGCCCAATTTCCAGAGCAGGAGGGGATGGTTAGCACAGACAAACCAGTCAGTTCTCTTTGTCAGAGAGGAAAGGGATGGTTCTGCCTTGATCTGTTTCAGAGATGATCAAAAACCAGATTAAAGGGCCTGAGATCTCTGTTCAGCCATGCTGCATCTGTGTGCTGGATAACAATGCTGCCAGGCCTCCTCCTGCCCTCTCCGGCCTCCTCCTCCACCCAAACCTGCTCCTTCCTTTCCTTGGGATGCTCCCCCACATCCACAGGCTGCCATCACCCCACGCCTAAAAGCTGATGGAATTTATCTGGGAACAAGTGGGTTTAGGCTGGGGGTTAAATAAAATAGGTGTGACGCTGTTCACTGGGGCTCTTGGATGAGGGAAGAGATGGGGATCTGACTCCACGTTTCAGAATTCTTGATTTATTATTTTATGATATATATTACATTAAAACTATGCTAAAAGATTAGAAGAAAGGATTTCATCAGAAGGCTGATTTATTATTTTATGATATATATTACATTAAACTATACTAAAAGAATAGAAGAAAAGGTTTCATCAGAAGGCTGGCTAAGAATAGAATAGAAAGGAATGATAAAGCTTCTGTCTTGGACAGAGTTTGAGCCAGCTGACTGTGATTGGGAATTAATTAGAAAACAGACTAACATGTGCCAATCACAGATGCACCTGTTGCATTCCACAGCAGCAGATAATCAACGTTTACATTTTGTTCGTGAAGCCTCTCAGCTTCTCAGGAGGAAAAATCCTAAAAAGAAGATTTTTCATGAAAAGATGTCTGCGGCAAATATAGGTGCAGAATTTCCATCACATGCCAGGGTTTCTTCCTTAGGCTGGGGTTAAATGGAATAGGTGCAGAATTTCCATCATGTGCCAGGACTGCTTTCCTGCTCCACATCCACTCCCAGGGAGGGAAGGAGCCCAAGGAATTCTCAGGGCAGCAAAACCTGCTGCAATTCTGCAGTAAACAGCTGCAATTCTGCAGTAAACAGCTGCATCTTGCAGCAGAGAGTATTTTCCTGTTTGGAGAGCATCTGGAAAATACCTTGGAAGCTGCATTAGAAGGAATAACCTTTAGTGGGGTAATCCAAGCAGCCATAACTTTAAATTGTTTAAGAACTGAGCAGCTGGAACATGCAGGAACTGCACTTTCCATTCAGCTCCTCTGATCTTTGATTGACTTACAGCCTGCTAGCCCCTGATTAAAATTGTTAGAGTATCATTTTCCAGTGCTGTTTTGTATAATAAATCATCGGTTATAAACCAGCCATTGTGATGAGTGCTCCTCTGGAGTTTGATGTATGAGGCACCAGACTGTATTCCTCAAATCTATTTTAATCCACTGAAATGAAAATTTTACTGTTGTTAAATGCAATTTTTACTGACTTACAGAAATATTACTAATTATTGAGGAGTTAGGTCAAGTCTTTCCACTTTAGTAGAAGTGCCAATAGATCTTAGTGATGTGATAGCTGATAATCATCTTTTCTTTATTATATTTAGGCAGATTCTAGATGCATTTATCATTTCATCAAAACATCTGTTTTTGAAAACAAGAAAAGGAATGTAATATATAAATTCAGTTGCATTGTAATGAGAAAAAATAATTAAAACCAATGAGATCTACATGTTTTGCATAAGTTCAGCACTCTTTCTGTTTACATACATTATTCAGTGGGTTAAAAAAGCTTTTTTCTCCAAAGCAGGGGCTGATCTTGTTCTCACTCTCAGTGAAGAAATGTCTCTGAAAGAAGCCTGTAAGAGTTGTAAGGAGAGCAAAGCTGACCAAAGGTTGAGGACAACAAGTGGTGAAAAATGGAATTTCTGCAGAAGAAAAGAGAAACTTGGGCAAACCAAGATGCTGGACCTGCTCAAGACAGGTTGGTACTGAATAACAAGCATAAATTGCATTAATTAAGTTTTTTTCCCCTTTTTTCTGAATGTAGCTCTTTATGGATGGTATGCTTAGAAGGAAGCAAACAAAAATATGTTCTATCAACAGGATTTTCTTTCCTCTTATCATGCTTATTAAAGGAGCCAAATCCTTCCAATTCAGACTGATCTTTATGTACTTCATTTTAGTTTAAAACAGCTCTGACTCTGATTCACTGGGACTGTGGGCTAAACATTAAGGTGAGCATGGAGAGAGCCCAGTTTTAAAGAATACCAAGCTAACTACATCCAGTTCTGTCTCAAATCATTGCTTTAAACCCACATTTCTCAATTGTATGCAGTGCCTTCTAGCCCGCCTGAAATTCCTTTTCCTTTCTGCACAAGAGCAGAAAAGGCAAAGCGGCTGAGGTCACCCGATCCCCTGATGGAAAATGGATGTGGTCAGAGTTGCAGAAATGTGACAAAAGCTTTTGGCAGGGAGCAGGCAGGCCCGGGGGACAGGCACGGGACACGTGAGCGCTTGTAGGAGATGCGGGGACCTCGTCCTCCGGTCACCTGCAGGGAATGGAGCTGGCACCGAGCGCTCAGGGCACAGCCCAGGCACTGCAGGAAGCTCAGAGAGCCAAAAAGAGCTGGGAGGAGGAGAGGGCTGGATGGAGGGTGGTGAAATGCCAGTCCAGGGCTGGGGTTCTGTCCGGTTTTCGGCTGTTTGAAGGGCCTGGAAGGGCCCGGGGTGGCCTTGGGGCAGCCGCGTTTCAAAGGACGAGAAGAGGCTTCAGTTCTTTTCTCGGTCTCGGTATTTATTAATTGTTTATCTAAAAGATTTTCTCTCGGCCCGACAGAGCTCTGCTCAGCAGCCAGCCATGAGCACACTCCCTGCCCTCCGGGCGGTCACCTATCTTTATACCCAAAGTTACGTGTACAATATTTATCATTTTTCCCCAATACCTTTCACCCTTATTGACCAGTGCACTTTTAGTAATGACCAATCCCAAAGTGCCACCATCACCACAGAAGATGGAGGAGAAGAAGAAGAAGGACAGGACACGCCCCAATTCCTCCATCTTACTTCTCTAAACCCCCCTGTACAGAAATCCTAAACCCTGTGTTTCACTCTCTAATTAACCAATCCCTTCACCATTCACCCCGGTGAAACCCTCCTGTCCTCATACAGGTGTCGTCTCCTGTGTAGGATCAAAGTGCAGCCCCCAGACACTTCTGGAACATTCCAGGACTCCCGAGCCCCCCAAGGGTGGTCTCGGTGACACCTCAGTCCTGAGGTGCTGAGATCCCACAGGGTTCCGTCCAGAGAGGGAGGGAATGCAGAGCCATGAGGAACTCGCAGAAATTCACAGCAATGCAGCAGGGGAATGAGGAACTGGAATGGATGAGGAATTGGGATGAGGAACTGGAAGGAGGAATTGGAATGGGGAATTAATTGGAATGAGGAATTGGAAGGAGGAATTGGGATGAGGAACTGGAATAAGGAATTGGGATGCGGAATTAATTGGAATGAAGAATTGGGATGAGGAATTGGAATAAGGAATTGGAAGGAGGAATTGGGATGGGGAATTAATTAGAATGAGGAATTGGAAGGAGGGATTGGGATGAGGAGTTATTTGGAATAAGCAATTGGAATGAGGAATTAGGATGAGGAACTTGGATTAAGAATTGGGATGAGGAATTAATTAATTGCGATGAGGAATTGGAATGAGGAATTGGGATGAATGAAGAATTGGGATGAGGAGTTGGAATAGGGAATGAGGAATTGGAATGGGGAACTGGAATGAGGAATTGGAATGAATGAAGAATTGGGATGAGGAGTTGGAATAGGGAATTGGAAGGATGAATTGGAATGAGGAATTAATTGGAATGAGGAACTGGAATGAGGACTTGGAGCTGCAGAGGGTGGAGCAAGGAGCAGGAGCCAAGGCTGAGCTTTGTGAGGGATCGGATGTGCCATGGGATAATTACCTGAGCAGCTCTCAGGTGAGCACAAAGCTCTGTTCTGCTGCTTGGGAAGTCAGATAATTTAAAGGACCTGTGAGAAAAGCCCTGGTAACAAGAGGCTGGCACTTGGAGTTTTTTTGTTGTTTGAACAATATTAAGGCTGAGCCAGCACCTCATCATTTCCCCGAGCAGTGGCCTATTGTAAGTCACAGATTACAGCTCAGAGAAGAAAAGAAGTACAAATAGTAGGATTTATAGAAAGCAAATAGTCATTTTGTCTATTAAGGGAGAGTCAAACTCAGTGCAAGGGAAGGGTGAAATCAATATGCTGTAACTCATAAATGTAAAGGCACTATAGAAGAAATATGAGATGATTTGAAGGTGAACTCACTACAATGATCACTTTATTTTTAACACAGTAAGTAGTCTAGTGGTTTCAGCAGCAAAGATGAGAAGTTTATAAAATGTAATAAAACTCTCAGAAGTCAGAGCTTTTTCTTGAGTTACATCGCAATGTTTTTTGGAAAGAAACACTGTCAGCTGTGTATCAGATCCTTCACTGCCCTGAATTTCTCTTTCTGTGTTTCTTTCAGGGAGAACCAGAATATTAATAGACCCTTCTTCATTTGATTAATCATTAAAAGAATGGCTGTGATTTCTTTTGTTCCCTTCACAGGAATCCATGTAAATGCAGGTTTGCACCTTCCTTCTCATGATTAACAATTTCAGAGGCATGGTCTGTCTGATTATTTAATTTTTTACCCTGAAATGCAAACTCAATAACAACACCATGCACATTGAGGAAGTTTTGCTTCAGATTCATTTCAGTCCGGTCCCTGGCACTAAATTCCCATTTACAGCTGGTGGTCCATCATGTGAAGTAAAGCAGAATAAATGGGAAAATAAGTTCCTATATGTAGATTTCTTAAGATTGAAGTACTTAAAATAATAAAGATCTTGAGACAAGATAATCCAAGTATTGAAACAAAGATCTTGAGATTTTAAGCTACTGAAATTCATTGAATTTCATGCTTATTCTTTATTTCAGTTCATCTGCTGTTTATTCCTTTGTGAAGCTGACAGGTCTGGATAATCTGCTTTTAACGGTAACATTCTAAATTACAATATATTTATATTTATTTTAAACTATTACAAAGCATACTTACAAAACTGTAGCTTCTTGGTTTTGCCTTTGAATGCCTTTCATTTCTTTGCCACCAAGAGGGAGTGAGAAGCAGGTAAGGAAAATGTGATTATTTTTCCCTGAAGAAGACTGCAGGGAAAACCCTGCAAATGGCCTTGTGTGCAGAAAGGACCTTTAGACTGTGAAGAGCAGCACAGGACAAGGAATGGATCTGTTTGTCCCCAAGTGCAGGGAAAAGCTGAGATCAGAAGCCAATCCATGGTGGCACTTGGTGCATCAGCAGCTCATGGGAAATGAGGAGTTGGAGGAGAGGCACCAAGGTACGTGAGAGGTCACCTGGGAGGTGACAGAAATGGGGAAAAAAATAAAAATAAGGAGAAGAAAAAAGGGAAAGGTACAACGAGAGGAATGGAGAAATGTTAATTGCAGGAATGTTTCAGGTGGATGTCACTGAACCAGGCCTGGAGTTGTGCAATCTGCAGAAAGGTGTTGCAGATGTGAGATGAAGGGCAAAGCTGGTGGGTGAACACAGGGCTGGGCTCTGATTTCCTCAGCAAGGACAATCCTCCTGGGCCTCCCAACTCATGGTCCTGTCTTTGGGAACAGCAAGCTGCGGATTCCTCTGGGAGAGGAGCAGAATCCCAGAGACAGAATATTCTGATTATGAAGGGACTCAGCTCCTCCGTGACCATACAGGGGTGGCAAAAGTGACCACAGAAATGTCCTGGGGACATGCTGGGACACCTGGGGACAGCAGGGCTGGCTGAGAGCTCCCAGCCAAGCCAGGCTGCTGGTGGATAGCTTTTGTCACCCTCAGTTTCTCACAAATCTGCAGCTCGAATGGAAAGTCAATAGCTCTTTGTCCCTTATCCCTTTACCAGGCCATCTCAGAGCAAAGTGCTCTGTAATTCCACGAAGAATTGCCCAGGAAAATCAAGGAATGTTAACTTAGCAAAGATATTGTTCCTGAAAGCTAATGGAGGGAGGAAAAAAACCAATCCCAAGGGCAAGGCAGAGCTTTTCACACGCACTGCACAGCAAAGGGACAGAGATGCACATTTCATTTCCCATCCCTGCAGTCACTCCCCAGTGCCCCATCCTGATGTGAGGAGATCCCTCAAGAGTTAACTCAGCCAAGGGAGCTCTCAGATCAATCCTCCTCTCTCCAGCCATGCCTCCCTCCCGATCAATAATGGCTGATGAATCCTCTGTCAGGCCCACAGCACGGCCACAATGGGAATCCTGCTCCTTCCCAAAGTGCCTTTGCCAGCCCCTGGGACAGGGGTGCACGGAGCTGAATTCCTGCTGATGCTGCACTGCCCTGCTCACCCGCACCTTCCTGCCCATGGAGGGGTTAGTGAGGGCCTTGCTAGTTTATTCAGAGCTAATTCAAACACACTATCTTGTGGCTCTCATCTTTAATAAAATCTAGAGTTTTTATTTAGATTATCTTGTCACAACAGACAAGAGAATCTAAATAAAAACCCTAGATAAAAACAATTGCAAAATTGTTTTTTCAAAATAAAGCTCTGATAATTGGATATTTTCTCTACGTGTAAAGTTCTGTAAGCAGTGCAAGCTATCTGGATTAAAACTGAGTTTTTCTGCAAAAACTAGGAAAAATTTAAAAGTTGGAAAGATCAGATGGTTCACACTCATAAATCAAATCCCTTAATTGCACTGAAGTACTAAAAGAAGTAACACTTTTGTTAACTTGAAAGTTAGGATGCATTTTTTTGGGAATTCAACCCTTTTTGATGTGCATATTCCCAGTAAATCTACTCCTGATTCTTATCTACAGTAGCATTGTCCATAATTAAAAATATTTTACAAGATGCTCTTTCAAAAACCCCCAGTAATTAATAATAAATATCTCTTTTCAGCTGCACATGAATCCACAATAATGAAATAAAACTGAAGTTACAAGCACAGCACTCCAGCCTGTGCAAACAGACTTGGCAGTTCTGAGTACAGATTCATGTCTGGAAGGATGCATTCTCCTTGAAGATGTTTGTGCAACCTACTTATCAGAAAAAAGAGATTTCCTGGAGATTTCCTTTAATTAGCTGGAACAAGTCATTAGTAAAGCAAGCAACTAAAACCATAAGCATATAAGCTAGCATGGTTTATTAAAAAGCAATAATTAAAAATATATCCTAAAATTCAAGAGAGGTGTGAGCAGGTTCAGTAACAGCTCTTTCTGTGGACAACAATGAGAGGGTGGGAAGAGAAAATTCAGCATTCTGCCTGGAAAGATAATGAGAGCAGAGGAAATACATGATCCATGCTAATGTGCTTTATGTTCCTCCCCTTCCCAGTTTCTGAAAGCCTCCATTTATTCCTCTGGCAATTAGGACTCATCATCACTGTCAATTATATTTTTGTACTGAGTGAATGCAAGGTCATTTCCAAAAAGTTCTGAACCAGATAAACCCAAAGTTTAGAATGCAGTGATTTTGCTGTGAGTGTTCTCTGGAGCAGCCACAGCCTGGTGTGGGTTTGGGGAACACGAGGGGATTACAGAAGGTGGGGCTGTGTCCCTTCCCCTGCCCAAATCGAGAATTGTGTGTCCCTTACCCACAATGAGAATTGGGTGTTGCTTCCTTATGTGTGTCCCTTACCCAAAATGAGAATTTGGTATCCTTTTCCTTACCCAAAATGAGAATTGGGTGTCCCTTCCTTACCCAAAATGAGAATTGGGTGTCCTTTCCTTACCTACAATGAGAATTGTGTGTCCCTTTCTTTACCCATAATGAGAATTGGGTGTCCCTTCTCTTACTTACAATGAGGATTGGGTGTCTCTTTTTTTATCCATAATGAAAATTTTGTGTCCATCCCTTCCCCACAATGAGAATCGTGTGTCCCTCCCTTACCCAAAATGAGAATTGGGTGTCCCTTCCTTTATCCATAATGAGAATTTTGTATCCCTTCCCCACAATTAAAATTGGGTGTCCCCTCTCTTTCCCACAATGAGGATTGGGTGTCCCTTACCCATAATGAGAATTGCAGTGTCCCTTCCTTTACCCATAATGAGAATTTTGTATCCCACAATAAGAATTGGGTGTCTCCTCCCTTACTCAAAATGAGAATTGGGTGTTGCTTCCTTACCCACAATGAAAATAGGGTTTCCCTTCCTTTACCCAAAATGAGAATTTTGTGTCCCTTCTCTTACTTACAATGAAAATTGCATTTCCCTTCCTTTACCTATAATAAGAATTTTGTGTCCCTTCCCCACAATGAAAATTAGGTGTCCCCTCCCTTACCTATAATGAGAATTGGGTGTCCCCTCCCTTCCCCACAATGAGGATTGGGTGTCCATTACCCATAATGAGAATTTTGTGTCCCTTCCTTTACCCATAATGAGAATTTTGTGTCCCTTCCCTTGCCCATAATGGGATTTTGTGCCTCATTCCTCTCTCCCCAGGCTGAAAGGCACCCCTGCAGTTCTGCACTGTGCATATTGACTCAAATGAAGCTTTGTGTAATAAGATTTAAATTGTAATGACTCATTATGTCAGCCCTTTTTTCTGCTGTTATTTTACACAGTAAGTGTGCATGGAGAACTACTACTACTGCAGAAAATCCCAGCAAGCTGGCAGTGAGTAAGTATTAAAAAAAACTACTGTGGAAACTTCTCCCAAAACCTTAGCATGACCAAAAGGATGATTTGTGTGGGTGAGTGGCCTTTTTACATCCATTTTCATCAGTTCCAGATTTTCTCCTGTATCCATCACATTTAGATCCAGATCCCCACTGGCTTTTAGTGGGACCAGACTGTCTCTATGTGAGCCTGAGGTGAGTGGCTTCAAAGTATTATTTTTCCAGATTGTTTAAACATTCAGCCATGCACACTCACACAGAGAGCTGTTTTCTAATAATCCTTTTATCAGCCTGAAGCTGAAACAACTTTCTTTCTTGCAAGGATCTGTTATTGAGAGTTTCTTATTAGTAACTAGATGCTGACATTGATTTCATTAAAAAATAAGCACAGTCCCCAAGAGCTTTTGATTTATTTTTTTTAATTGCATAACATGTAGAGTATAAACACAAACTGCTTTGCTCAGAACTGCACCTCTTTAATTGCCTGAATTAAAAGGATTTCTGGATCAGCAGTTTCTCTCATTTTTGGTACATATTGGTGGCACGTTACCAAGGTTCCTCTGAAACTGCTAAATCTGGCTGGGGCTGAAAGTGATGTGGAAAAATTATTTTTGAGTGCTCTGTGAAGATTGTTCAGAACCACTGCTCTACAGCACCAGAGTAATGGCTGTTCTGTGCAAGATCAGCTCCAGATAAATATCTTTTCTTCTTACAGTGAAGGAAGTCTTGAGATACCAGTTTAAGTCCAGTGACTCTAACAGACAAATTTTGTTGATTTGCACCAAAAGGTGAACTGATCCTAAGCCCGGAATTTTGTGTCAGCTTTATAAAGACAGAGGTTAACAAAACTCTCCAAAGACACCCAACACTCTTCTCTACGTGATTCCACACCAGTCTCCAGAGGACAATTCTCTGGTTTCTAAATTCTGGTGCTCCCTGTTTAAATATCCATAGGAAGTATGAGCAGGCTTCTCTCCTACCCATTTCTCATCTGAGAATTCAATAGCTGCAGTTCAATACTATAAGAAAATAGGTTGGAGAAGTGGGAGGAGGATGAAAAATTGACAAAGGATTGGGAAAGCTGAAGCTTAAAGCTTCTTGTAGGACATCACTGGAGCTCTTCTGACCCTTTATTTGCACTCTTGCTTCTCTTAAGAATCCAAATATTTACAAGGCTGTAATTGAAAGGGGTAAATATCAATATCTAAGGGCTGCTGTCCTTCTCCCTGTTCTCCCCTGATTTCCTAGGAAATTCTGCCAAATGAACAAACCCACACCAGTGGCTTCTTATTTCCCCAGCTCCTCCTTGGATGTGCCTTTCTCATCTCACAGAAAACTCTTTTGTATTTCAGCATTGATTGGCTTATCTTTTTTTTTTTTTGGCTGGCAGCTCTTCCTGCTCTCGTTAGTACATGAAAGTCTAATTGTGCTGGGCAGCTCTGTCCTGGCAAGCAACTTTGAAATTATGTGTGAGATGGAAGCAGACATCATTAATTCTACTTTTTAGGTAAGTTTTTTTCTCATGTGAGTGATGTGTTTTGCTCCTTACCTAAAAACACTCAGTATTTTTTTAATATAGTGATATCAATTCAGGTATATAAAATATATTTTTACAACTAATTAGAAATCAGTGAGAAAATCCATGTGAAATTTATGGCCATTAATACAGAAGAACCAAACAATTAATTTATGTTCAATCCAATGAGCCAGTATCCAACTTTTTTCCTCTATTTATTTTTATCTCAGTGTCTTAATTCAGGAGCAGGCAGGGAATATATCCATATGTTTTATTTCTTTTGTAAAATTAGCTTAAAGGAAAAGAAGAAAACCACCAAAACATAGGATTGCAGACTTGCCATTTTTTTTCCCCGAGAGAATCATAAATTATTTAAAGTTTCTTCACCTTCAAAATGCCCAGATGAATGCTCTGAGATATTCAAAGGCAAGAAGCTGAAAGATTATACAGGTGATTCAATAATTCTTGGCAACAACTAAAATAAAAATTGTGCTTTACTTTTATATTTTAAGTATGAGAGTTTCATTTTTTTCTCCTAATTTTTCTCTGTGTCAACAAATAATTTAAGACATATCAGTATTGAATATACCATAGCTGAAATGAAAATGTATGGGATCATTCCATTTTTAGTTTCCTTGAAAATACTTTTTATTTTCTTTTTCCACTTGGTTCTTTATACTTGAAAAAGCAATATTCCTCATGTGAACACTGCTAATTAAGTCAGGCATTCATATTTTTTTCTATTACCACTTTTCTTGGTGCTTATTTAAAAACTTTGTTTGCAAAGTTGAATACTCAAGGTTCCTTTTCAACACTTGTATTGATTTTCTTTTGTCTTTCAACAAACAGGCAGCAATCTGTACTTAACATGGAAAAAATAACAAGCAGGCAGAGCTCAAATAGCAAAATCAACATTTTTATTCATCTTGTAATGAATAGTGTGAGCAAGCCAAGATCTGGCTGTACCCCAGTAGAAAAGCAGAGGCCTTTATTTCTCAAGTACCAATGATATCATCAATAGGTGGGGGGAAAGGGTTGATAAAAATGAGAAATAAATTCAAATGGAAGCTCTTTAGGATTTTCAGCATGCATTAACTACTTCAGTTCAGGTGCCTGTCCCAAAATTGGCTGTGGATGTGTTAATCCAGCAGGGAGTGGGAAATTCATTTTGATTTTAAATGACAATTGTCCTTTCAGTGCAGAGTGTGGAGCTGGGAATGTCACACAGGGCACCCTACCAGGGGCACAGGTGGCATTTTAGTCATCACAAAGAATTCTGTGTGTCCTCCAGGGGTAAAGATGGCATTTTTGCCATCACAAGAGTTTTGTGTGTGCCCCTAAGGGGTAAAAATGGCATTTTAGCCATCACACAGAGTTTTGTGTGTGCCCCTAAGGGGTACAGGTGGCATTTCCCCCATCACATCCCCCTGTGTGTGCCCCTGAGGGGTAAAAATGGCATTTTTGGCATCACACAGAGTTGTGTGTGAGCTCCCAAGGGTACAGGTGACATTTTAGCATCACAAGAGTTGTGTGTGTGACCCCCAGGGCTACAAATGGCATTTTAGCCATCACACAGAATTTTGTGTGTGCCCCCAGGGGTACAAATGACATTTCCCCCATCACACAGAGTTGTGTGTGCCCCTCAGGGACACAGGTGGCATTTTAACCATTACAAAGAATTTTGTGTGTGCCCCCAGGGGTACAGGTGACATTTTACCATCACACAGAGTTGTGTGTGAGCCCTCAGGGAGTTCAGGGGGTCTCAGACCCTCTGTGCAAAGTCCTGTGAGCTGAGCCCAGAGCTGCTGATGTGTGGGGATGGACAGGAAGGTGCCAGAAGAGAGGATGAGGAGATGAGAAGAGAAAGAGAGTTTATTAGCCTAGAGAGAAAGGGTCAAGCTCTGATTGCAGGCAACAAGTGACAGGAGGAGAGGCCATGGCCTCAGTGTGAGCCAGGGGAGGTTCAGGGTGGACATTTGGGGAATTTCCTCGCAGAAAGGGCTGTCAAACCCTGGTAGAGGCTGCCTGGGCAGGTGGAGAAGCCACCACCCCTGGAAATGTTTGGGCAAAGCCTGGATGTGGCATTTAGGGCCAAGGTCTGGGTGACACCGTGGGGCTGGGTCAGAGGCTGGGCCTGGTGACCTCAGAGGCCTTTTCCAACCCAATTGGTTCTGTCAAAGCCTTCCAAGGTCTGCTGAGCTCTGGGGACTGCCTGGCTCAACCTGCAAAAATGGGGAAAGCACCAAACTGCTGAAATTGTCCAAAGGCAGCTGAGCTCAGCAGCATTAAACACAGAACTCAGCCAGGGAGGGACAGGCTGCTTTACCCAACCCCCCTGAGCCTCTGCCACGCTGCTGGTGTCACTGGGGCTCCCCAGGAGGCTGCAATGAGCTCTTTGGGGAGTGCATGGATGTGTAGTTATCTGTAATTAATAAGAAATACTGTATTCTATTAGCAATAGCACTTATTAGAAAGACTGTATTCTATTAACATACCATTTATTAGAGACTGTATTCTATTAGCAATATTATTTATTAGCAATAAATAGTAATATCACATAAATATTAGCTGTGATCTGTGTTTCCCCCATTTTCATTTTCTACCAGGAAAAAGGGTATTTACAGTCCTTCAGCAGGTTTTTCTACCTGGAAAAGGTGAAGGATGGAGCCCTCAATGGGTTCTGCTCTCGTGGCTGCAGAAAATCCCCCTTCATTTCCCACCCATGCCCATCCATTATCCCCTACCAGCAATAAACACCCAGGATTTGCTTTTAGTAAGAGCTTTATGAGCCTGCAGTTCATGTGAAGATTAAAAGGGTCATATTCTTTTGTGTTTATACAGGGAAAAGGATTCTGATTTTGTTTTGGGTTTTTTTTTCCCCTTTTAAATCTTAGCCTGAATCAGAAGGAAGGCTGGATCATCACTGGATGTAATGCATTACCATTAACTTCATGGAGCAATTTCTCTTGTACAGTTTTGCTAGTCCAGGCATTCTGGCTTTTAGTTTAATTGAGTTTGTTGATAAATCTCTCATGACATGCTTTCTATATATGATCTTCCTATAAAAAAAATACTTCTATGGAATAAAATTCATTCCATGAACAGGATTAGAACAAGGCTTGTACATTGTTTAATCATGTGTTCAATTGGTTTCTAACAAGCAGTAGCAATGGCTTAGGCTGGCCCTCTGTTCATTTATAACTCTCGCATTAACATTTGCAAAACAGGCAATGAGAAAAAAAAAAAACATGCTAAAATCACACAGTTCAGTAAATGTTTTCATTAAATATTACTGACTTCATTCCCTATTGAAATGGAATATTCTTATTCAATCAGTGAGTCCAGTAAATAAACACACAATTGCCTGAGGTGTCTTCTGCATCAGAATTTCAGTTCCCACCCTTGTCCCAAGACCAGGAAAGAGCAGGAATTTGTGTTGGGGACATGTGTAGTTGTACCAGGTCCTATATAAATAATATGTTATTCTTTTAATTAATTATAATATATAATATATAATATATAATATATAATATATAATATATAATATATAATATATAATATATAATATATAATATATAATATATTATACATTATACATTATATATTATATATAACATAATGTATATTAATTTATATTAATTTGTATTATATTATATTATATTATATTATATTATATTATATTATATTATATTATATTATATTATATTATATTATTATTGTATTATTCTTATTCTTATTATAATATCTCATAAGAATTATTATACAAGAAAAATAATTATTTGCCATTCTTTTTGTTTTGGCAGCAAGCAATTGTCACCTTCTACAGGACTGAGGCAGGCAGATTCCAGCATACAGTGGAAAGGAAATAGTGACTACAAGTGTTAACTGCATTTAAAATGTTTTATTCCTACATACACTTTTATGGATTTCAGAAGTGGGATCAATTTTCCCTTCCTGAATTCTGATACCGATAATTTTCTTTATTTATTTCTTTTCAAATGAGAATGCTACTGGCTTCCTTTGGCATATTTCTTGCTAATATGACTGCTCTGGTTATTGCAGTGGTACCTTTCATGTCCCTGACCACAATACAAGATGTTTCATTTACTTAAAGCTTTCTTGATGTTATCGAACTGAGAGAATTTACTTCAGTAGCCCTAGA